GTTCTGTCTAAAAAAACAAAAATAAAAAAATAAAAAAAACTTCCTCCAAACATTCTAAAAGGTAACTTCCAGCCAGGCACAGTGACTCATGCCTATAATCATAGCACTCTGGGAGGGTGACACGGGCAGAGTGCCGGAGCTCAGGAGTTTGAGACCAGCCTGAGCAAGAGCAAGAGCACATCTCTAAAAATAGTGGCCGTTGTGGCCGATGCCTATAATCCCAGCTACTCAGGAGGCTGAGGCAAGAGAATCACTTGAGCCCAAGGGTTTGAGTTTGCTGTGAGTTATGATGCCACAGCACTCTACCCAGGGCAACAAAGTGAGACTCTGTCTCAAAAAATAATAAAAATAAATAAATAAATAAATGGTAACTTCCAAGCATTGGAATGGAGTTTTCTGGACTGGTGGCTTCTGAAGAAGCCTCAGAGTGGGTTTTATTTTTTAGCACTACTGGGAAAGTCTATTGTCTGGAATAGAGGAGGCTGGGATTGGGGGAGGGCCTGGGAAATCTGGGTACTAGGCGTCCTCTCTAATGCCCTGCCCCACCTCTCTTTCTCTTTCAGAATGGCCACGGCATCGCAAGGTCAATGTCTGGGTTCTAGTTCAGATACAAACTGTTTAGTGGACTTTCGAGAGAGGCTTCTGACTATTGATTCAAACCTGGGGGTCAAGGATGTGGAGCACCTGAAGTTTCTCTGTCAAGGCTTTGTCTCCCTCAAGAAGTTAGAGAAGTCCAGCTCAGCCTCGGATATCTTTGAACAACTCCTAGCACAAGAGCTACTAAGTGAGGAAGATCCTTTCTTCCTTGCGGAACTCCTTTATATCATCCGGCAGAAATCACTGCTGAAGCACCTCGGCTACACCAAAGAGCAAGTGATGGATCTGCTGCCCAGCGGAAGGAAGATCTCTCCATTTAGGTGAGGATGGGTCTGTGATGAAGACGTCTCATGTTCATTCTGGCCATTGGGCTTTGAAAGGGAGCCAAAATTAAGATCTTTTTCTTGGCCAGGAGCAGTAGATCACACCTATAATCCCAGTACTCTGGGAGGCTGAGGTGGGAGAATTGCTTGAGCTCAGGAGTTTGAGACCAGCCTTGTCCAGAGCAAGACCCTGTCTCTACTAAAAATAGAAAAATTGACTTTGTGCCCATAGCACAGTGTTTACAGTGCCGGCCACATACACTAAGGCTGGCGGGTTTGATCCCAGCCAAGGCCTGCTAAATAGCAATGACTACTGCAACAAAAAAAATAGCTGGGAGTTATGCTGAGCGCCTGTAGTCCCATCTACTTGGGAGGCTGAGGCAAGAGAATTACTTAAGCCCAAGAGTTTGAGGTTGCTGTGAGCTGTGACAGCACAGCACTCTACCAAAGGTGACATAGTGAGACTCTGTCTCAAAAAAACAAAATAAAATAAAATAGAAATAGAAAACTTAGCCAGGGGTTGTGGCCGGCACCAATAGTCCTAGCTACTCAGGAGGGCGAGGCAGGAATTTGAGGTTGCTGTGAGCTATGATGCCATAGTACTCAACCTCAGGGCGACAGAATGAGACTCTGTCTCAAAAAAAAAAAGATCTTTTTCTTAATTTTCCTCCTTGGATGATAAACCAGATTTCTCAGCTTTAGATGCTAATGAGATGCTAATGAGTTGGAAGGTCAGCAAAGCTTCAGGACCCAGCGCTGGAGAAGCCTCGAGTTGGCGTCT